AGCCTGTGCCAGTGCTCTGTCACGCTCACAGCAAAGGAGTTCTTCCTTATATTTACATAGGATTAGCTGTGTTCCAGCTTGTGCTCATTGTCTCTTGCCCTGTCACTGGCACCATTGTGCCAGTGCTCTGTCACCCTCACAGCAAAGGAGTTCTTCCTTATATTTATGGAATTAGCTGTGTTCTAGCTTGTGCTCGTTGTCTCTTGCCCTGTCACTGGCACCACGGAAAGGAATCGGGCTCCATCCTCCCTGCACCCAGCCTTTAGATATTTATAGACATATGGACATAAACTCTTGATATCTTGAGACTGCACTTAAGGGTAAAGTATTGGTCTCAATAAATCTCATAAGGCTCCTTCTCACAGCTTCAATTTGCTGTTTTGGATGCCACGAAGCCCATAGAGAAATTTCAGCTTCTTAAAGACTGTTCTGCAATATTTTTTTACCCATTGCACTACGTAACAGTCCCTTCCCGATGAGGTAAAGGCAGAAAGGCAGTCTTTCCACTGTAGTTTAGGGAGAGCTGAGTGACAAAATGAGATACATATTTCAAATGGAGCAATACTGCCTAACTAATTGGCGATTCCTTTATCAGGAAGTCAGAAATACAGGTGGAAGTAAAGGATGGACACATCCTAAAAATTGTGCTTGTGCATTAAAAGATAAACTCCCCTTTCAATCCCTCTCTTTCACGTAGCAAGGCCTTCAAAGATGAAAAGAAATACGAATGCACTGAAGAAAGTTTGTTTATGTTCAGTACCTGACCACATAACGAAAATTTTTTTTCTGGCTCAAATTTATTAGCAACATGGTCTCCATGTAGCAGCAACATTTTCAGGATACGCTGCCTGCACAGCTAACAAATAGCTGCAAATTATATATATCCATACTACAAGCATGCAAGTACTCCATCAAAGATTTCTGACAATGACAAAGGTTTTGTTTGTTTTGATTTTTTTGGTGAGGATGCTAGCATACATGCAGTAGCATTTACAAGAAGTCTTTCACATAAATCACTCCAACACCACCTGATAAAACTAGAAGAATAAATTAAATATCTACTGGGGACTAAACACCATCAGCGTAACTTCTTTTGAACTTTTTGTAACTATTTTAGTAGTTGTGTATATATTTTAGAATAATTTCAAGTATTAAATATTGGTATAAATTCTTGAGAATATTCAACATGCTGAGCACATCCGACAGTGCTGAAAAAAATCAGCCCAGCAATGCTCCATGCCTGTGCTTTGTCAACTACTGTCTGCCAAGACGTCAGAAAACCAGATGCAAGATAAGACTGTGTGCATATGCATCACTCTTTATTCTGCAAAAGCCACACACAGAACAGCACTGTCTGTGTGTTCAAAATTCAAAAATTTTGCTATGAGTAATACAGAAGAATGACAGTACTTCCCCACGAATCGAGATACTCTTTGAACAGTTTGCTGCTAATTATCCCTAACTCATTTTAAACAGCATATGATGGAGCTCATACTACACTTATGAAAAAACTTCCTATTTTTTAGCATCCATTCTTCTACAAATATTGATTATTTAATTGTAAGATCTGTAAAGCGCAATCAAATAATGGAAGTATTTGGAGTATTACTGCACAACAGGAAATGGAAACAAACCTTTGCTATTGAGTCCTTCTCCAGATGAGCTCTAGAACCACAGGAAATAGCCATCTGGTTCTGCAGAGGAACAGAAATTAAAGAGTTATTATTTAAACTAACATTTTCTGCATCAGTGGGACCTTGTGCCGAGAACTGTATAATAAAAAACCTGAAAGCAGTATACTTTCCTCCTTCCTGTGGCTGCATTTTTTCTATTGCTAGATTCCAGGGCTAAAACCAGCCTCTTCTAACAGATTATCCAACCTTTATTACATTTTGCATATAGTGAGTACAAACTGCTGCAATTTATTCAAGTTTGGTTTAGCTTACATTGTTCTTCTGAGGAAAGCATACAGTAAATGCGTCAAACAGCACAGATCATAGAGTGTGAGGGGTTGGAAGGGACCTCAAAAGATCATCTAGTCCAGCCCCTCTGCCAGAGCAGGATCACCTACAGTAGGTCACACAGGAACGCGTTCAGGTGGGTTCTGAAAGTCTCCAGAGCAGGAGACCCCACAACCTCTCTGGGCAGCCTGTGCCAGTGCTCTGTCACCCTCACAGTAAAGAAGCTTCTCCTCATGTTGAGGTGGAACTTCCTATGTTCTAACTTAAACCCATTATTTCTTGTTCTATTACTGGGCACCACTGAGAAGAGATTGTCTCCCTCCTCTTGACACCCACCCCTCAGATATTTATATGTGTCAATAAGATCCCCTCTCAGCCGTCTCCTTTCAAGGCTAAACAGCCTCAGTTCTCTCAGTCTCTCTTCACAGGAGAGATGTTCAAGTCCCTTAATCATACTCATAGTTCTCTCTCCAGTAGGTCCCTGTCTCTCTTGAATGGGGGAGCCCAAAACTGGACACAGTATTCCAGGAGTGGTCTCACCAGGGCAGAGTAGAGGGGGAGGAGAACCTCCCTAGACCTGCTGGACACACTTTTCTTAATGCACCCCAGGATCTCACTGGCCCTCTTGGCCACAAGGGGACATTGCTGTCCCATGGACAACTCACTGCCCACTGAGACTCCAAGGTCTTTCTCCACTGGTGCCTGGTATTATTCAGTATTCCCAAACGCTCAACGTCAGAACACGTTTTCCTAAATAGTGCACTGTGAAAGGGATAACACAATAAACCACATGTTGCACCAACGTACCTTCAAACAAATAAAATGCCATGGTATCAGCGAAAAATAGAATCTCAAATGAAAAAAATCAAAACAAGAGGTTTGAAATTATTCTCACGCTACCGCTTCTCACACAGAATCTCTCAAATCCACTGTATTTGAGAGCACGAGACTGACACTGGAGGAGCAGCAGCTGCTGCCGCCTGGGCAGGGGAGAGCATTGGGGGAACACGGCCGCCCCATGGACCGAGAACCGGCACATCCCTCGCGGCTCCGGCGGAACGGTTGCGCGTAGCTTCTGGCCTTGGTTCTTTCAAGTCAAGCGCCCAAAAGAGAATGACTGTGTAGGGAGGAGGTCTCGTTGCACAGGTTTTTGAATTTTTATTTACAATGAAAGGTCTTCCAAATACTGTCATTAAACTAACAGCTCTGAGGAGAGTGAGCCTCTACAAAATAAGGCAAAATTAGGATGCATTCTTAAAGGCATATAGGATGACATCAGATAAAATGAAAACACAAAACAATTAACAAAGAAAAATTTGTTTTTTAACTGAGTCGGCAACATATGGTACTTATACGGAGGAGAACAACTTCAAAGGAAGAATAGTAAACAGAACATTATATACTGGATTGAAATAGGCACCGGCAATGCAAAGGAGGTAAGAACTCTGTGGAAGCTACCTTCTGACAGCTCATTTTGCTCATTTTGTCTCTAAGCTTACATCTAGGTCTTCAGACTAACATCCAGATCTTCAATTGAATCTCAGAAAACTCAAATTGAAGAGAATTACAAAACCCATTCTGTATGCATTGGTTTTAAAGTAAAACCATGAGAATTTATACTCACAGGCCACGGCTGAAGATTTTTTAGACCTTCTTCTACTTTTTCAATATCTGCAAACTTTGTGGCTCCATCTGCATCAGCCATAAGAATTTTTCTCCCCCGAGAACTAAAGACACCCTGCAATCAAAACAGTCAATAAAAATCAACAGATTTGAAATCACTGTTTGGTCTTAAGCTAGTTGCAAGATGCCCCAAAACGCTAATGTAACTAGGACAGCGGCATCTCTAAGATTCAACACGTGACTCTTAATATTCTGCTACTAACAAGATTGATAACAATCTATATTTTAATAAGATCTAGAGACTTCACAGACCGAGTAGTGCCCCACAGCGACAGACAATGCATGAACATGAAAGGTTTAACAATCCCTCTCCCGAGAAGCTTGTGATCTAAAAGCTTTAAAAACCAAAATCCCAAGAGACAAGAAGTTGCTACAGTCAGCGGTACAGGGGAGCACAAAGACGCGTTGATCAGCAGCTGCCACCACACTGGGTGGCTTCTCTTTGTCATTTGAGCTATGGAAAGGAGGAAGCAGCGCTATTTTTACCAAACATGGTTTCAAGAGAATTCAAGAGGTAATCTTAAATTAGTTTTGAGAGGTAAAGTCTTAGGTCACGGTATGGCTGCAAAACATTTGTGATGCACAGGTCTCACAGCTTGTTTTGCCAAATTTTTGGTCAGGTGGCTTTGACAATTTTTGAAGGGGTCCAGACAGGAAAACAATTAGCAGAGGGTTTGCCAAAAGTACTGTTGTAAGCAAGGTAGCGTGACTGGGGAAAAACCTGTCAAGTAAGTAGCACTATGGACATCCACTCTATACTCTGCAGGGCAAACATGTATCACACAGAGAATCATTCTCCTTCTCTTGGAATAACTTCAAAATTCTAACCCTTACAAAAGCTCTGTATGTTCAAATTTAATATTTTCTCCATTTGCTATAGTTACTTCTGTTTCATTAAAATGAAATAAAATTAAAGGTAGAGCTTAAAATACAGATAAAATCAGTCACGGTTAACCCATAAATGATATCACTCTTTTTCACAAAAGTAAGGCGTCATTCAACTCTGGAAAAAATGTTCCCTCTAAATATATAACAGATATTTTATTTTTAGAACATTATGATTTTATGATAATATATATGTGAAAATTAACATGTGAAAGCATAAATTGTGCTGCTTCTACTATTGGCTGCAGGTGATCGCTTCACAAAACCAAAATCCCTACTGGACGAGAGTATTTGTTAATGAGCCGTTTTGAAAATCACAACCATAAGACCTGGAAAGCAATGTTTGCAAACTTAGCTGTATTTTTCCTACAAAAGCTTTACCTTAACCTGTAAAGGGTTTTATTTTTGTTTTGTTTGGGCATTTTTTTAAAACAGAAGCCTATTTCTAAGTGGAACTAACAGGAACATGAAGTTCAAGTCTTTTTCTTGTTGTTGTTGTTTTAATCCTCACATAAAAGAATTCTTTGTTATTGGTCTTCCTGGCAAGAAAATACTGTTTCCAAGAGCTAAAACAAGGTTATTTTGAAAAGCATTTTTGCCTGAATTTATAGAACTTTTACTTGGTTTTCTGATAATCATTTTATTAACGTATTGAATTAAAAATGTCCATCAGCACAGTTCTAACTTCTGCATATTTGGGCATAGGTAGATCAGACAGAGAAGGAAAGTATCAATTACCATCCTGACTGCTCCTCCTTTCCCTCGATTTTTTACCAAAGAAAGCACTCGCACTTTGTCGCTTCCATATTTCTTGCAGTACTTCATTGCAACCTGATAGACACACAAAAAACCAGCGTAAAACAAAAACAGGAATCAAGGTAGAAGTTTACATTTGCTCACCCTTTAAAAAAGAAAAAATTAATACCACAGAGCTACAACCACTTCAGTTAGCACAAATACATTGCCAGTGTTTGCTGGAATCTGTTTGGGAAAATAAAAAGCAGTTCACAGTCAACGCAGGAAGACTGAAGAAGCTAGTCATGTTCAGTCAGAAGAGGATATTCCCCCACGTGACTCTAAACCCCATTCATCCAAGACCAAAATACTCAATATTAATGGAATTTATATCATACCATTAGAGACCTTTTATACCAACACCAACAGTCAATCAAAGAAAAATATTTTTCTGTTACTGCTACCCATTTCTCATCACTTGTCTTGCTGCTACCTGGGGTTTTAAACAAAAATCCACAGTGATCTAAAATTCCATTTCATACGCAAGGATGAACGCATTTTGGTCCACGCTGTGAGGACAAGAAAGCACGAGTTTTCTCCTCTAATTTTTTCTAAAGGTTGTCTCAAGTCCTAGCAAGTCCAGAGGCACATAACCATAGCGTGCACAATTAGAACTGATGCTAGAAGGAATGCAAATCAGTCACAAAATACATACAAGCAATCCTTAATAGGCAAGCTTAAGGCAAGTAAATGAAAAAGCAGAAATCCTTTTAGTAGCTAACTCAAAAACCTTCCATGCACCAGCAAAAAAAACCCCCAAAACAACCCTCAAGTTGGCCAGCCTTCCCTTCCAGTGATACACATCAAACTCAAAGCATAGGCACAACTATTTTGAAAACACTGCAACTGACACAGGGATTTTTAAACGAACAATGTCACAAAAGGGAATGGGAAAGAGCTATGTAACATCAGCTGTCCTGTCAATCGCAGTACAAATCAGCTCTTTTAAAAGGCTTTTTAGCTTCCTCGAGTTCATATTCACATTGCTATGGACATGTAGAGCATTTCCTAGGAAACGTCTTGAAGTTAAGATTAGATTTCTTAGAATCTCAGCTGGAGGAAAATGGTTGTCACGGTCACCAATCAGGAATACTAGTATTTGCAAAAGAATTATCTGTGTATGTGACATGCACAACGCATACAGGATAAAGACAGAAAGTATTCAGAAACAACGTGAATTTTACTTGTCTACTACTTCAAGTACTACAATATAAACGCAAAACATTGGACATTCCATAAATGCAGTACAGAAATCCATACCTCTAATTACTTGGTAGGACACTTTCTCTTACCTTTGTAGTTTGATCTTTACTACCATCATCAACCACTATGACTTCATAAGTGAATGAAGGATCTCGTTTCTTGAAAACAGAAACAGAAATAATGCATTTGATCCAATTTCTTAAGTGGGTAGTAGGTCTCTCAAGCATCAGCATTCTTTTCTCCCTAGCAGTTGTTAACTCAATCATGGTTGCCAACAAACACCAATATGATGTAGTAAATTTATTAAGGTGGCAGAATTAAAGAATTCTGTCATATCTGATGCGTGTTGCATTAGATCAGCTTGTCATAGTTTTCCTCAGCTAACACCCAGAACTGAAAAATCAATTTAGTTGTGAAAGATGCAAGCTCAGAACACCACCATTGTTTAGAAAACCCAAATAAAACACAATCCACAAACCTTCACAATGGGCTTCGTACCTAGAGAACAAATCCTAATGAAGAACAGATGCTTAAGAAACTTTTTGGAAGAAACCAAGATTTTGTTTAGAAAGCTAAATGTATAGGTAATCCTTAATTTCTGTCTTGGAGAAGTATCATGCATACAAAGATTTTTCATCATATAGCTGTATGTTAAATTTTTACTCAATTAAAAAATACTTTCCAGCATTCAATCTGAAAATCACTGAGAAGAGATAGAAGTGTTACTTCTAAATGGCTAAGTAATACTGTTTTAATGTACACCAAAATAACAAAGTGGATAGACCACCAACCCGTGATATATGTAACATATAGGAAAACAATGAATTTTGAATGCAAAATGAAAATACCTGTCTTTTTTCTAGATAATCCAAAGCTTCATCCATCATTAGAGGTACTAGAGAAAAGGTGAACGAGGTCAGGTTAGTAGATTATAACAGGCAAAGCACCAAAAGCACCTGAACAAGCTGAAAACAACCACAAAGCAAAGCTGAACAAATTGCCTCTTTCATACAACATTACCTTGAGTAAACAAGCTTAACACTTGCAACTCTAAGTCCTGTCCTTTCTGAATGCAAAAGGAACACTGAAGAAAATCACACATATAAAACAGGACTAAAACCTTTCTTCTGAAGAATCAGCTTTCCATTTTGAAATATGTAATTCACTACACAAATCTAAGGGAAAAAAATAATTAAATCATTCTCCCATGACTAATCCTGCTAACTAGCACTGACTTTAATCTATTTAAGCAAGATGACAAAGAAGGCAACAAGAGAAATTCCCAGCACTAGTCAGTAACTTGCCTTCTCTTGCTACAGCTGCTGGCCATGACACTTCAGCCAACGAACAGCAGATCAGAAAGACATTCAACGGCATGGTTGTCTTTGCAGTATAAGTTCCTGTCCAAGCACATCTCAGGTCATTATTCTATCTCCAAGGAGAGGGACAACCAAATGAAAATCACATGAAGCACATTAAGACCTTGCTTACTGAAATCAGGTGTACAAACATCCAGGACTGAGGAATGCACTGGACCTAAGGAAGGACGAGGCCGACCTTTTGTCCAGATACACTTCATTTGTCAACATCTCCCTTTAAGGGCATCCAAAACAGCTCAATTTTTTCACTCATCAAGAAAAGGACTGACAATGTTTGCTAACACGTCAGCTCCAAGTACAGCTTTAGAGCTTGTTTATTTTTATTGCATCTGACTGCCGTCACTTTTTAGTATCAGGTACTCATACATTTTTCTGCCAATCTGAAGCTGCTGCTGCTGTTGTTTACAGAGTGGGAAGCTCTCAAATAAATTTTAAAAGTCGTCTTCTACTCCTTGCCTTACTGCATTTATGGGGGCAATAAGCAGTCACTCTGCTGGACTTCATTGAAATAAAGAGGACTCGTACAATTGCCCCTTGCTATTTTTAGCAGCAGAAATCAAGTTACGCAGTGTCTTAATTTTGAAATTCAATGTACTTGGACTGTTTTCTGGAAACTGTGTCCGAACTCAGATACACAATCTGCCCTGTCAGAATCTACTGCTAACATAAACTGACCTCTGCATTATTACTGTAACAACAGATAGATTTTCTTCTTTCTCTCAAAACAAGAAAAATCTTACACCGTTCTTCCTCATTGTATGAAGGCACAACAACAGAGAGTTCTCTTGTAGGGGGATCATGTATACTTGGTACAGATTCTTTCCTGCCTTCGGCAGTTACGAAGAACTTCTCTTTTTCATGTCGGTGAAGGTTTGGCATTTTTTTGGCAGTTACATGTGCAATCACACAAATCTGCAATAAAGAAGAAATGAAAAAAAAAGTCGAGCATTCTGTTAAAGGTTTAACTGGCTGCTGAACAGCCTACAAGGGATAAGCAACTGTGTTTCAGTAATGAGACAGGTCAGTGGTGTGGTACTTCAGCCACTGAACAAATCACATGGGACTAAAACCTTCTCATGCCATTTGATTACTCAAATTCACAGAATCACAGAATGTCAGGGGTTGGAAGGGACCTCAAAAGATCATCTAGTCCAGCCCCCCTGCCAGAGCAGGATCACCTACAGTAGGTGACACAGGAACATGTCCAGGCGGGTTTTGAATGTCTTCAGAGAAGGAGACTCCACAACCTCCCTGGGCAGCCTGTTCCACTGCTCTGTCACCCTCACAGGGAAAAAGCTTTTCCTAATGTTTTCGTGGAACCTCCTGTGTTCCAGCTTGTACCCATTGCCCCTTGTCCTGTCATTGGATGTCGCTGAAAAGAGCCTGGCTCTGCCCTCCTGACACTCCCCTTTGACATATTTATAA